TATTATGCACTTCTGAGCTAAGATCGGCGTAAAAACGTTATCTATATAAACATGATTGATAATCGATCTTCACTAGTGATGTTCTGGGCATAGAGAATGCATGTATTGCTCCTTTTCACGTCCTTATGGTCGCCCGTGCCAAATATTAGTTTGACAACTTAATTCCTCACAAAAATTATGTATTTTCCCATAACTCCTTCAACCCGCCCCAAAATAACAAAGCAGATGTGTACCAAAGAAGCGAACTTAGTGATTCCCTTCCGCCGAAAGGCATCCTTATACATATGTGTATGCAGGTGCGTGTTCACAAACGATATGTAAATATTTCCACTTTGTCTATCACTCAATGACAAATCAAATAAATGGACTTGTAAGCATTTTTACGACTTTCAGTCTAAAAAGCTCTCACTTTTTCCACAGGGTTCACTATTTGTTGAGATAATCACATGAATGCGCACATTTTCATGAATTTAGGTGACAGTATATCACACTTACATACATACATATGTACGTGGGTGTATGTGTGTATGATGCACACAGATTTTCCTTGCGGTGGAGGGGCACTATGAGCAATCATAAAGTCAAGTGGTGGTCATAAATATAACGAGCGACACATGTCGCCCGGCCTGCCGAGGCCGAGGACAACTCGGATGCACGTAAATAAGAAGTTTGTTACTTTTATCATACATACTGCATGTACTTATAAGCATAAATACGTACATACTACGAACGTATGTGTGTGTGTTTGAATTTATGAAAGCAAATAATAAAGATAACGCCAAAGCTAGTTACGATGCGAACTGTGTATTTGGGGGAATTACTGTTTTGTTACTTAGTTGGTAGCCACGGCCAACTCCCTAGCGTATTCCGTGGTCCTCTGCGTTAGTTGTGGATGTCATAAATCTTTATTGAACTTGTCACTATTGATTTGGATTTTTGGCTACCAGCATGTATGGTGTACCGTTAAAAGAGAGTAGAGAGTCGGCGGACGTGCGGGGTTTGTTGGAATTAAATAATGTCATGTGTCATAATGTCCGGAAGTCTAGTCATACTTTACTGTGTACGTATGTATCACATAATTGGAAGTGTCTGTACGAGCCTAAGCGCAGAGAATTAAACACCGATGTCCTCTATGTAAACCACATGAAACTATATTTATGCACATATACACATTCGTATGTACTCGTGTACTCGAACGTTTAATGCATCTGCTGGTTTCCTCTCGACGCCTCTTATCAGTTTGCCATGCGAAGTGAAATGAGAAATTACTCTTGTCGACTTTTTGCATTTTTCTACCATGTCCAGATTGTTTTGCTTTTCATAAATCACTGATGAATTACATCTACATACGGAATTGCCAAACTAAAACAAACAGAGTAGAACTTTGCAAGTCCATTGTTATTCAAGCCCTGTTGGAAATCTGCGCTCTGCGGAAGTCTATTCAGAAATAACTGGCATATCAACAACAGGCACCTATATTTTGAGCAGGTTATGTAAGCCTTTCAAATTTTCTTATGATATTTCCACCTATTTAAAAATCGACGGCATTGAATTCGAAATTTCTTGATTGATACAAAATCGCATTTCGTAAAAAGAATTTTCGTAAGATTACACTTGATTTAATTCTTGCTTACCATAAATATTTTTATCGAAGGAAAAACTAACTGTCTTTGGCTTAAATACCACTTAGTTTTACCGTATTCATCTTTAGCATTTCTTCAACTGTACACCATATGATGTTGGTGAACTAAATGACATCTCTACTGGCAACATATTTCTCATACATACATACATACCTATTAGAATGTGCATTTGAATGGGCGGATAGATACAACATACTATATACTTATATATTCAATATATATATACATATGTAGATGTATATACAAACACTGTGCGAACATAAATATTAAACGAACTTATCTCCCAACTACCTTTTGCTTTTATTATTGACTTCTGTGTTTGGCTGACTATATTTGGTTGCTGTGAAATTTATCATTCATTCCGGGGCAAGTTTGTTAATTATTTATGTTCTCATTTTTGCACTGAGACTTAATTTTGTATCAAACACATAATTCGTCTCATAAGCTTGTTATGTTCTTAGTGAAGTTTGGTGATATATGACCGCAAGCAGAACTTGGGTTTTCTTCGATTTTTTGGGACATTTACAAGGGACGGCTCACTTCTGTGTCGAAATTCGCAAAGAAAAGATAGAGAGAGGGAGAGAGATGTTTGAAGTTCATAGTATATCTTCATCCCTTTCTCTCGTGATTTTTATACTCTCGCAACATGTTGTTACAGGGTATTATTGATTCAGTCACCTAACGCTTGTTTGTAACACCTAATTATAGAATTATAAATGATCAGGATGACAATACGATTTGAATTCTAGCTGACTGTCTGTCCGTCCGTCTCTGCAAGTGAGATATCGTCTTAGAACTTTGTACATGTGTTCCTTGGTATCCAAGGGAGAGTAATATCCCAGATGGACGGAATCAAACGACTACCGCACCCGCAAAATGCTGTTAATCGAAACCAGATATAGTGCCATAACTAAGCTCCAAATTGAGGCACAGAACTGTGATTTTGTACTGGGTATCGCAAGAGTAAGTGACATCTGTAGGCTGAAAAATTTCAAAAAGTGAGAGTAGCCCCGCTCGAATAGATTCAATGTATCTGTCTCACAGAATACATACGAATTTAATATATATATGCCGTCTTAGGAGCATATATTTACATATTTGCATGCATATGATACATGGTTACACATACATATGTATATGTATTGCGTGAAACACGAAACTTTTATTTAAAACATAACTAGAAAACATTAGAAAGATTACCAATATTTTGGATAAATGAGTTTAATTCGACAGCTGCCTAAAGTTTGTTTTTGCGTTTAGAATTTCTGTGCCTCTAAAAACTACATACACAAATAACTACTACAAGATCCGGTCGAGCGTTTCTGTGGTTATGGTATACAGAGCACACGAGAGAGAGGGGAAGATCAGGGCTCGGAATTCTCAGGGGAGCCCAGTGTTATACAACAATTTTTTGTAATTTTTTTTCTCGTACAATTTACGAGAATATGAATTACTGTATTTCATAGGAATATTTGCTTGTAATGTTATAATTGAAAATTATGCTTCTCAGCGGTCATCATCAATTGAAAATTAGTTTTATGAGATCAGCATCAATGTTTCTTCAAGATGTTTTACCCGAGGTTTCATATGCATACATATGTACTCGAGCACATGTAAAACCAACAAAAAATATACATAAGGTAAATTAAACAAATTTTTTCTTAAAATAAATAAAATATAATATGAATAAATTGATGGATCAGGGGCCCTCACCCTATATCCCCCCAGCCGCGGTTTACATTAAATATTATTATAATAGCCTATGTACTTGTGTATTTAATAGGTTAGTCTGGTAGGCTAATAAGCCACGCGTGGTTCTTAATACATGAAAATATCATATGTAAATAAAGACGAAAACGTTATTTCCGTTATAAGAATAATAAGGATTGATATTTAAGCCTTACCGGTTCCACATAGTGCGTCCAAGAAAAAAACGGCCTTGTTCATTAGCACAATCAATATGTGGAATCTATATACATAGTAGATTCGGTCATGTGATACTCTAGCTATGATATACATTATATACTTTTATATAATATATTATAAAATAAACTATTCAATACAGTGAAAATATTATTTACGCATTTAGGCGAAAACGTAATTGCCGGTATAAAAATCGATCCACTGTACTTGAGGTTTAATTTTGAAAATGATTCATACAAATATTTGTCAATGGAAATAAAAATTAATTTTCCATTTAACATTTTATTGAAAATTTTATTTTATTTACTTTTTTTTTGTTTTTTTTTTTTGATTTTGGCAACATGCTGTTTTGAAATATATTTTTTAACATTAATTTATGAATTGTTTTACTTTTAATATAATTGATATATAAACTATCCTACCTTTTAAGTTGAATCAAACTAGGCACAGTATGCTAATTTTTCCTAAAATCGGTTCAGTAGTTTAGGAGATAATCCCGATACGTAATGCCACAAATATAGAGCAATATACAAGGCTCGATTTAAGATGACGTTTTCGGTTCAAAGCGGTTAATATTTGGCTTATGCTCATGAGTTACAACAGCTGTTAAGGCATTTGATGCCTCTTCTCCATACGCGACGAGTCATTAACGAACAATTATTAAGTTTAATTACACGCACATACTAAGCAAAATGAGAAGAGTCTTCACTCATTGCGAAAAATAGTTTTTTCATTCTATCAGAAATAACGGTGGAAAAGGTCATAAATGTCAAGCCATGTTATTTAATGCCGTTGTAGTAACACCCACCTTTGTGCCCGGTTGTTTTATTGTGTCTTCAGTAATGGACAACGTATAAGTTGCGTTTCGTGCACAGATGCAAGCATTCTACAAACACGTAGCATTCGTAGCCGATGAGCACCAAACTTCAATTTGCACAAAAAGAAATAAATCTTGAAAGGTTCGTTGAGCCGCCTCGTTATTTGTGCATTGTTTCGCTATTTACGACAACACCTCAGCACATTGTTATCATGGAAGTTTCGAAGTCTGCACTCTAACCACTCTGTTTGTCGTGTGTCACAATCTCGCTGGGTCCATTGATTCTCATTAACAAGCAAGCCACGCCAACTAAATTTCAGTATTGCGTGTTTTTATGCGAAGGACCACCTCCTAAACTCATTACAGTCGACCCCTCGTGTTTGCGCTAAATGAACGGGAGTATGGAAAATGTCCCAAAAGACTCTTATGCTCCGGAAATTTGTCAAATGGTGAAAAGAAAAAAATCCACACCAACAGTAATTAGAACTTTCGGCGCAACAATGTTTATAGCACGATTCAATTCAAGACCTGAGAAATGGCGGCTGCAACTGAGTTATTGTTTTCCCATCAGAGTTGCCAACTGGTTTCACTATGTAAACCAAATATACCCAGAAATGTCTTCGTTAAATCAATCAAATTGCATATTTTCTATTTTCTACTATAAATTTTACAATTCACAGACAATTTTTAGTATGGTAAACTAGCTTGACTCATACGACAACAAATAACCTAGCGCGATTTTGCTCATACGCTTGCTGGGCAGCACTGCTCTATCGACGGCGTGAAGCCGAGCGACTCCGAGCTCGTAAATATCCATAGTCGTCAACCGACTGTCTTCGGTGAAAACTGTTGCAGTCGCTGTAACACTTATGGGACCGTCTATGTCGGTGTTCGTCGTGGACGTTTTCTTCTTCCTCTTCTTCTTCTTCGCTGAGAACATCTCTTGTGGTTTTACCTTTACGATCCTTTTCGTATTTATTATTTTTTTTTGATTTCGACACCTTTCGCGATGGCGAACGTGCATTAGCTGGCCTTGTCTCTGTGCCCTTTTTTGATTTCGGCTCAGGAGGTACATCACCACTGTCCATACTCTCTAAGCTCTCCGCACTATCGACTTCGTCATCCTCATCCATTTCGGAGCTGTCGTCCATAGCATCAACAGCGTCGCAAACTCGATAATAAAACTCGTTGTGCTTCTGCACAAACCCATACCGCACTCCACCACTCAAGACCTCCTCAACAACTTTCTTCACTTTATCTTCTGACTGTGAACTAACTTCTGCTACGTAGCGCACGATTTCGTCCAAGGTCACAGGCTCCTTAAACTCGGCAAGCGCCTCCAAAACTTCTTTTCCCTGTATGGCCTTCGGCATATTTGATTAATATATGTTTAATTTTTTTTTAATTTTTCCTCGATAACTTATAATTGTATATTACAAGAATTTTTCTGTAAATTTTTTTATTGTAATTTTCACATAAGCTAGTGACAAAAAATTACATACTATTTGATTATTTATTTTTTCACTGGTACTCAAGACTCAAGGTGGAAATTACCTGGCAACTCTCGTATCAAGTGGATGTGGTGGGGTGTAGCTGAGCTTAAACAAAAGTCAGTAATGGGACAAAGTTTACTCAGTTTGACAATGATTAGCTGCCCGATGCCTCCTTCCGCTGCAGGCTCGACACAGTACAACCGAATGGAAGCTGAAACTATAAAGCGAAACATTATCGTCAAGGTCGATGTCCTTACGGAGTACTTACAACACACAAACACACATTCCTGCAGCTTGGAAGTGTAAGTATACTTAGTGAGACCTCCCCTAGTAAGATTTACAAGTAAAAAGCTTTTACGTCATTAATCTCGGAACTCGCCATAAAACAAAAGCAATTATTCGTGTCGTGCCCTCATCGAGAGCCGAGGATCTCATAAGGTACCGCAGCTACAGTTATTTCAGAACTCAGCTACACATACTTTAACACTTATGGTCTTGTACTTGCGTTTGTAAGTGTTACGACGACTAATTTTTTATTTCGGATTCATCGGCGCTATTAATTCTGTTGTTTTTATTAGGTAGCGAAGTAATTGGAGAAAAACGGTAGCAAAATGCATACCTTTTCCAGCGCATGCCGATTTTAATTGCTCCCTTTCGTAATCTTAACACATTGGCATGCCTCGTAAACAGCGAAAGCCTTTAATTGTATTGCCAATATGTGTTTCGGAAGATTTACTCATTCAGTGACAGTAATACATATACATATGTACACATATATGCATTGTATATTATATATGTGTTATGTTGTAATTTTTTGTATGTGTTCGATTCGTCAACTGTGTAAAATTAAATAAATTAAATCTATGAGACTTTGAGAAGCAACGTATCCAGTAACAAAAGCGCTTAAGAGAGACGTGTCTAATGAAAATATTAAGCTTTAGAGTCACCTTCCATGGCCGAAAATGTTGAGCAAATGACTTTTACGATTTCATTAACTTCCATAAAACTCCGCCCTCCACGTATTTAATATTTAAAAAGCAACATTTTCATAATTTTTAAATACACATTCATTATTTTGTTTCGCCCTTATTTACCCCTTGCCAGCGGTGGCGAGAGAAATTATGTAATTTGCATTAATTTAATATTAGCCTTCGGGGTAAAAAATGTCCCCATTGAACACTTGCAGGAGTGCGTATGAAACTTTCAACGCCGCTAATGTTGAAGGAGTTTAAAAGTCGACAACAACGGTGAACAACAAAAATTGAATGTGCTGCATAATTAGGTAGCAGCTACAACTCTTTCGCTTGACATATTAATTTGGCAACATTTTTGAACTTTCGCCCTCGAGGGAAATCTTTTGAAAAGTAAACACGAAAAGCAGCTAAGAAAACATATCCACATGAAAAGGAAAGTGAGTGAGAAAGTGAGTTGTGTATAAGGAAGACCCTTTTTAAATATGCAGGTTCTGGCATTGTACCTCGCATTGCGCACCTGAAATGTTTTGATAATTATTTTTGTCGTTTTATATATGTATATTGGGTCTGTTCAACGCTTGACTCGCGTTCTGTGAAAAAATTTTGTTGAAATAATTAAAATTTCCATTTTTTCTTTTGGGTTTTGTTTGTCATCTTATCACATGTACAACGTATGTACTTTTCATAAATAAATAAACTGGACCAATTTAAAGAGCTCTTTGGGAATGTATAAACGTGAGCGAAAAGCGCAACTTGGAAATGATGCACGTTGTGGAGTGTGACTACCGACCAATGGATAGCGGAATTAAGGTCCCATTCACCAATCATGAATTACGCTAACTGTAGACAAGAGCAGCATATATCTATATATACCATATAGAATATATATATTATATATTAGAGTGGGTCCAAAAAATAAATATTTTTTTCACTTGGTACTCTGTAAAATATGTTTTAGCCGCATCTATGAAAATCTCTCCAAGTGTGAGTTCTTAATTGTAACGGGAAGGTCTTCCGAATGAAAAAATAACTCGTTTCATAAATTTTGTAGGAAACTGACAGCTCTACAAAATGATTACAATTTTTTCGTAAACCTCACTGTTTAAAAGGTATTAGTGGTTGAAGTTTGATTATTATAAGGCAAATTTATTTTTTTCTTATGAATTTTATAACTCAGAGATTTTCGTAGAGGTGCCTAAGGACCGATTTTTCAGAGTACCAAGCGAAAAAACAATATTCCTTTTTTTGTCGCCATATATGCGGGGTACAGAAATGGATTCTCTCCGAATTCCTATAATATATCTAACAGATTAACCGATATTTTCGAAAAAAAAGTTCGCAGCAAGAACTGGGGTCCATATATTCGTTATCTTTGGGCTTGAATAGATTTGGTCTGATTTGGACAATTTTTGGTCATAAGATGGCAGACTTCAAAGGCACTATTCGTGCAAAGTTTTATCTGGATATATTGATTGGTTCTTGATTCGTATATTGAAAAGTGAAAGGATCAGATGAAATTTAAAATTGTGTTGTATGGAATGACAGGGCGTGGCAATGGACCGATTTCGCCCATCTGCAATACCAACCCTTGGGTACCAAGGAACATGTATACCAAGTTTCATCAAGATATCTCAAAAGACAAACATACAGTCACTCGAAACTTGTCATCCTGATCATTTCAAGATGTGAATGGCAATGGAAGCTGCCACCAATCATAAGGTTTTTTTTCGAAAATCTGGTATTTTCGTTTGAAGGAAAACCAGCCAAAATTCATGATTACCCCAAATGGATGAATTCCTTTTGTAAACTTTATTTTTTAGTAGACATCTTAATTATTAACTTAATAATTATTGTCTAATTATTGTCTTAAAATGAAATGTTTTCCTGGCAGGAGCCTGGCCGGCTGTACTTCATTTTATATGCAAAATGGAATTTTATTAAGGCACATGCGTTGACATGCAGACACTTAACGGCATCTTTATATTCGGCTTTTGGCACATTCTTCCCAAAATTAATTTAATGAGTCAAAATTAACCATAAATAGTTTACAAGTATAACAATATGAACAAGCTATTAAGGTAATTGCCAACATTATGATTACCGAGCACACAAATCATAAGACCCAACTCCGTACAGCTGAAAAACGTTTAGCAATTTCCCAGCGGCGCTGAATGTCTTTATCTCATAAAAGTTTAAAGTCACTCACTAACCACAGATCTCGACTTTTATTGGAACCGCAAATGCACACCGAACCAATGGCAAACTAACATTTGAACGACAAACGCCTAGAGGCCATTAAATCTTTCACTAAAACTTCACTCACACGCTCCCTGGATGTGGCGAACCAGCAATGCTCACTTGTTTCGAAACTTCAAACTGTGCGGCCGGTCACACAAAGCTTGCGGCTGAGACACATTCACATTCGTAAGTTCACTATGGAAAGGTTGAAAATCATGCAAGGCAGCGCGTTTCAGATGCGTTCGCGGATTGGGGAGAGACCTTCTAAGTCTTTGGGTAAACCTTTCGAGCGCACACTCACGAACACAAACGCGCACACCATATGTGAGTTGGAATGCTGAAACGTGTGGTGGGAGCTTGTGCCTTCGCCGTCAGGGGGTGCCGGAGGACCTGGATCAAATTGGCTGAAGCACGCATGAAAAGTCGTATTCAGTGTACGCTGATTTTTTGTTAAGAGTTGTTGGCGCAAGAAAATGCGGTTGCGATTGAGATTCTTTAATGTTTTCTTTGCGGCGAAGAGTATGAGGAAATAATATTTTTAAGTGAATTTGATCCTGTTAGAATAAGTCAAAGGAGACCCTAATACACTTGCACCAATGAATATCTGTATGTAGTAATGCGGCTTTTGTGCTTGTGTGTAAATATCAGGTTGCGTGGAAGGTGAAAAGAATTTTTCCGCTCACTTTAACAAAACAAACACGTAGTCCGGATTGGATAACGTTCAGCCAGCTACACCCCTTCCCTTCCGCAGTCACACACATGCATATGTTCCTCCTCTATTTATTAGCGCCGAATTTATATTATATTCTCTGAATGTTGAGTATATTTTTTGAAAACACACTTTTCTCGAAGCTATTAATTTTAAGTGTCGCCTTGCAAATAGTGAGATTGATCTTTATCAATACCTATGCCCACCACTATACCGATGGTTTTTGCTGTTGTCTGAACTCGCACCGACCATTCACCGAGTGATAGTCAGGCACTCAACTTTCCCGCTACGGCGGCCACCTATAAGATTTGGTTTTACAAGTATTTCGCCTCGAGCTCCATTAGTTCTCACCTTCAGATAGCCTTTCAGTTCTTTCTCATCAGCTTTCTGGCATTTTGTCATCACTATGCCACTAAAAACGTCTGTCATCTTGCCGTCTACTGTAAACTAGTCTGACTCCTTCCCTAACGGAGTTAATTAAATGTCAGTCGCAAAAAGACTAGCGCTGTGTACCTTATAAATCACTGTCCAATTTTCGAAGCAATGACTAAACTAAAAATTTGCTGCGTCACAAACCCATTACGAATTCGCGTCACACCCAAACGCTGCAAGTTCAAAGTGCAACGAAATCGTATAAAAGAAGGAGAAAATAGAAAGAAGCTTCTTTCTTAATTGGTTTTTCAAAACACAAAACCTACTTGGGATTTGCTGTTAGCTTACGAGACATTAGTGAAAAATACTAAAACCGAACTTTAACGAAGATTACAGCTTATATTAGCCGTTCGTATTGATCAGACTTTGCGTATTCGGAAATTGCAGATTAACACAGTTGATTTAACATTCCGCTTAACCAACACAAATCCACGCAAGTGAAAATACAGAGCTCTAGCAGATTTCTTTCTGTTTAAATTATTATGAAACACATCCAAATGCAAACTATTTCTTAGTATTTAGAGGGGCACAATAACTATCTTTATCACATCAGTTTTGATGACTACATCTTTATGTATAGTAATATTATAAAATCGTAAAACATTATACTAAAGTTGTCCCAGTCACACTAGATGAAACTTTCCCTTATAACGCTATTTTGTAGAATTTCTTAGTACTTTATTTAAAACAGAAAGACAAAAACAATAAACACAAGGCATAATGTACGCTCCACTCCTCATTCCATACTGCACAACAGTTAATACGGTGTATTCCAATGGTAAACTACTTTTCTATTCATCACTGAATAAAACTTATTATACTTGCTCCGTTCCGTCCATTGACGTAAATTGATTCTTAACTATGAAACGGTTATCCCAGTCAATAAGTAATAATCTATAACTTAAGTGGGCATGCTTCCCTAAATACCTTTCCCCCTGCTTTGATATCACAAATATATAATATTAAAGCGATCATGTCTTCATCTACCTTCCTAAGGCGAAAGTACAGATCTAACACATGGGCTGAAAAGTCACGGGCCTTACAAAGAAAACACGGTTTCTGTTTTTTGTTCAAAATTGGCTTCATTCATCAATATAATCTCAATCACCAAGCAACACAACCATTCCAGCGTCACACGGTCTTCATAAAACAACAAGACATATGCGGTCGCTTTTCTACAATTTCGGACTTCAAACGTTCCAATATCGCTATGCGAGTATAATAGTCAATATTGATGGTTTTTCCTTTCACAAGATAGTCGATGAATATTACACCTTTCATATCCCAAAATACCGAGGCCATAATCATTTGGACGAGGTTCACCAGCTGCTGTCCACTAAAATGACGATCGTTTTGATTGCTGAGTGAAGTGATGGATACAGGTTTCATTCAGTGTCACATATCGACGCAAAAATTCCGGTTTGTTACGTTTAAACATGGCTAAACATTGCTCAGAATCATTATCACGTTGCTGTTTTTGGTCAGAGCTTTCTCATGGACAAATGCTCGTGCAATATAAAGCCAACATGTTCTTTTCAAATCCTTACGATGATAGCTGCCATTACGCAACTTCACTTTCCGATCAATCAGAACGATTTTGTGGATTTTTTTATGTTTTCTGTTGTTACAGCCTCATTTCAACGCCCACTGTGTTTTGCGTCATTGGTGTTTCTACAACCATGTTTAAAGTAAGCAAACCAACATTTTATTGTGGTTTCTGGTTGTGCGGAGTCCCCATAACACTTTTCAAGCCATTGCTTCGCTTTAAGGGAACTTTTTCCCATCAAGAAAAGTGTAAAATTAAAACACGAAATGGTTTTAGCGTCACTCTTAAACTCGCAAACTAATAGAATGTCATGAAATTTAAACAGATTTTTAATCTATGTGTGAGGCTCGGAACTTTTCAGTTCATGTGTTAATACAACATACATAATTATTACCAATCCCTTTGAACTCAGGTCCTGAAATAGTAAAAAAACTCCATTAAAATTATTATTATTAATTTTGAAATTTTGGGGTATTCACCCAGCTTTGTTAATTCGTTAGTTTTTTACGTGTATTTTGTTTTTGCAAAATTAACAGATTGTCGTTCTACCGAGTACCAAAGTATCAAATTTAAAAAAAATATGGTAAGTATTTAAAAAAGCTTGAATAAACTGTTTTGCGACAAAATTAACACACTACTGAGATAGAGCAAAATGTATGTTCACAGTAAAGTGTTTTAACGAAGCATCAACTAACGAGTTGCCAGATTAACATGTTCGGTCTGAATACCCCGATTGCTTGTTAGTATAATTATTTTTACTAGTCGCAATTTAATGAAATGCAAAACCACAACTTATTTATTACGTTTCAATAAAAAAAATTAACATATGTTCCTACGCCACAAATACCGAAGAGGTAGCCACCACTAGAGCCCCCGTAACGAATTGATATTTACGATTATTTACTTTGAAAGAGAAATAAGTAAATTGTATTAGGAGAAGTGCGCTGGGATGGTCCGTGCATCAAAAGATTTCATGCATTCATCTGCTGAAGGGTGAAGCGTTTGTCGAGCACTGAAAAGCAATCGCAGATTAAATGCAGCGCACAAAATGCAGCTACCACTCCGACATTCTTGTCTCTTTTTCATAAAAATGAATTAAATTCTCTATGTTTGAAAGCATCTCTGTTATAAGCCTTGCCTTCCTACCTCTCAGTCACTGGCAACTCGCAGATACCTATACTTACTTGTATATGCATATACACAAAGCAAAAGTCGAGGCAGGTCGGTTTATACTTGAAATGTTCAAGTAGTGCAACGCGACGCAATAAGGACTCTCGGTAGAAGTTTACATTTGTAAATTGATTTCCCCATCTTAAGCCGCTATAGAATTGGCATCTGCTTGCCATTGTGAGGGCTGAATTATCAAAGCGCTTGTATACACTATTATACTCGTACACACAGGCCCACAAACACAGTGCTCAGCAGCGAGCCACCAGTCTGCTGCTGGAAAAGGCAATAAAATACAGAATTGCAAACGGAAAAGTCAAGTAATTTGCAATTATTCAAAGCACCCAATCCCGACATTCTCAGTGCAGTGCACTCCGTAAACGCCTCTCATTGGAACAACATTATAAATATGTGTGTACACACGAGGGGGGTTGGTGAACAGCTTGAGCAACTGAATTTTTAATACACTTTAATATTCGCAATTTCATATTTCTGCGCTTATTTTGACACTCTCCCACCGTTGTTTGCAAATTTTACAAGCTCGTAAAAGTAATAAAACCGACGCTCGTGACACTCATAAATGTTAATGTGACAAATAAACATATTCGCGCTGTTCGCTGTCTACCAGATGTCCCGACATTCGATTGTCGTTAAATTCGTGTTCAGACACCGCCCGAGTCTAAGTCGGGGCGACCTCTTATCACAGGTGAAAATGCGCCAAATTCATTGTTTTGTTTTTTTTTCTGCTGTGCCTCCGCACCACTTTGCACGTAGCAATATTTAAAGACACAAGTTACAGCCATAAATGGGAGGCATTTGTATAATTTTGCAATTTTCATAAAATGTGATTCACACATTTCGGGATAATAAAATAATCATTTAAATAATTTATATACTCAGTCGTTTAAAGGCACATACTCACGTACATCGCAGTGTGTAGCTTAAAGCGATTGGGGAACTCCTTTAAAGCTGATTTTTGACTAAGCAAACTCTATTTTTTCGTATCCATATTTGCCGATTTTATATGAGACATTTAATCATTTCGAATTCGCCTATGAGTAAAAGCTAAATTAAGCTGAGTTTCTAAGCCACTCTCGCAAGAATTGAATTGCATTAAAAGGCCTTTAAAATATTTTAAGGTGTCTGCATTAAATAGTATTTTAACATCTTTGTTGATGCCTGGGCTATCTACTGTGAGGGCAAATAAGTGGATGGATTCAAACTAGAGATTGATTGGAGGTAGTGGTGGCATGATTGATCTCGATCCACATCTTCTCCCAATAGATAAATAGATAATAGAAATTGCTTAAAAGTTGCAGTCCAAAGTAAAGCTATAGTACACATAATTTAAAAATTAAAAATTTTAGAGAATTAAAAATTAATTAATTCCTTACTCGTTAATAGTAAAATTCTTATCTAATTTGATTTTAGAAGTCGTAATCACAAGCTTTTTCGATATGCATACAGAATAAGTTATATTTAAAATTATTTTTCATCATAATTGAGTACCTCAAACAACATACTTGTACATGTATGAATGTTTGCGAGACAATTGGTTCATAAATATACTTGTAGTATCGCCTCGATAATCGCAGCTGATTCAAATTAGTGCTATTACAACGGAAGTGATCTCTCTAAGGCAGAGGCGCTCTTCCTCTTCTGTGCTAAGCCAGGCTGCGTCTTAATATTCATCATGCATCGTACACCTCCACAAGTATGACACCAGTAGTCGTAATAAGGATCTCGACGTTTTTCTGTAATTGTATCACTTGTAGACCCGCGTAAAATTCTAACTTTTGAGTACGTATATTTGTATGTCCATCATTGGAGTTTGAAGAAAAGCTTATGGAACAAAGAAAAACTTCTTATGAACACGCCTGTATATACATCATTGTATATATGTCTATGTATGTGTATATAATATATAAGTGCATTGTTCATTGTGAAGAACAGCAGTAAAGACGAAACTACAAGCAAGCGCCTTAAAGTATACAACTATTCGCTCACAAGAGGCTACAACTATTAAGTTATTGGCTTGGGTTCGAGGGGTAGAGAATATTAATGCTCTACAATGGGTTACATGTAATATGCATGGAAGCTCATTAGACTAACTGCATGGCTTAAGGATATTTTGCAATGTTTCGGTTTCGGTCAGTGTATGAGTAAATAACTAAGCAAACAAGGCGAGCCCTTGTGCGGCAAGCTGTTAGCAAGCGCAAGAAGAAGGAATAGCACGCTGGAGTTCAAAGGGTGAAGAAGAGTAATTGCGATTTGCTGGGGTAGTTAATCTTGATCTGCTACAAAATTCTGTTAAATAAATATTCAAGTAATTGCAGTAAATTTTTATATAGCCAACAGATGTGCTCTCTGTACTATCTATGGTAATGTCACTAGACTCTGTAGGGAAATTACGGCAAACTTGCGAACAGCAGCTACTCGTATAGCCGTAAATATGTACATAAGTTCGCTATTTTGATATTCAAATGGTTATTACCATATTTTGACACTAAATACCGTCATAATGGCCACTAATATACCCAATTTTTTATAAAAACAAAGCATCACCTAAAAGCAACACAGAAAAGAAGAAAAAATTAGAAACAGTGAAGAAAACACCGACTCATCATGCAATTAAGCCGACTATGATGGCGTGTGGCACATCCCGTAAAGCAAAACCTGTTGTAACAACAATAACTGCAATAACAACCACAATGGCACCAAATGAATTGTAAATTAAGTGCGGTGTCATGTTTCACGAATTTCACACCGCGACGGCCAAACGACTAGCCGTTATCCCCTTACACACAAACACACCCCCAGGATGGTAGGGTGTAAGTTTAGCCATTTAGTACTCCAATTTTCCTCATCAAAACACCCCAAAGCGAGCTTGTAAAAAGATTAGATTTTTTGATAAAAACAAGCATGTTCTTTGATTAGCTCCCCTGCGGCAAAAATTTAAACGCAAATTTGTGGCTTTGGCACCACATGTCAACCGTAATTAGTAATTGAAATCTGCTCCAAGACGCGCGCATTGCACTTGGCGGATGATTAATGACTGTCGCTTGAGGCGCCTTGGCCGAGCTGGGAAGGAGAGTGGCCGTCTATTAAACGGACAAAACGGATTAAATGCTGCTTTGTGTCTTGTTGCTCGGAACTCGCGTCCGCCAGTCGGCAGTGACTTCACTAATCACCTCCCTGCAATCGTTTTTTCATCACCATAAATGGAAAGGATGATTAAGTGTGGCAATTTCTTTTAATAACATTGGAAGAGAAGCTATTATAACGGTAGGTGTAATTGGACGTGTTTTGAGATTATAACATAAAAAGCCTTAGCATTCGAGAAAAACATCTTTGCAAGTAGTCTGTAAGAAGATTGTTTATTTGGATAACGGGAACACATTGACACACTTGCTTCGGCTAAGAAAATACTGAATCCATACGATATTACAAGACCAAACAAAACAAAACTTCTTTGAATATTCCAAGATTAACCAAGTCCAAAAAATGGTCGGTGTCCAAGCAGATCAAAGCAAAAGCCCGCTAATTATCGCTTATAATGGTTAATTAGCAACAATGCAATTGAAGCAACCTACAAGACTGAGTGGATTGCTTGCCCAAGTGCATGGAGAAATACATTAAAGCAGTAAATGGAGACGATTAATCCATCACCAAGGCAATACATGCTCTCATACATTGACACTGACTTTTTCACTGGCCAAAACACGGTATCGAGGTAAAATGACTTCTTGCGACATCAAAAAGTTCTGCCAATTTTTGAGCGAGGGTAAAGGATATGGATATATACCGATTTAATATGATGTCACTGCTATCGAGATGGTCAAGTAGTCTAACCTAAAACGGAGGCAGCAGACCGATTGAACAAGTCACGTTCGAAGTGAACAAATATTTTCTTAAATCCTTTTCTTAAACTGAAATGCGAGAATTAAAACAACGTAGATCCAAAGGTTAAGAAATACTGGATACTTATAATTGTCAAGACTCTTCAAGGCCCCATCCGAACTGCCTATTTTATTTCTTGTCGTTATCCTTATATAAAAATCACAATCATCAGCATTTGTACTTAAAGTAAATTTAGACAATTTTTTCTTTCACTTACATTTTTAATCAGATTTTCTCTTAAATAGCGTTAGTGCACATGCTCGGGAGATATCAAGCAGCAGAGCATTCCAACAAAGAGAGTCAACTTAGTTCCCGAAAGGCAATTGCGCTCTTCATTTGCCTCTTCTCAGAAAGGAAAGGTTTTCTCAGCATTTGCAAATGTTGGGTCCGAGTGTACACACATTTTTCTTTTCAACTCACGGCAGAACAGCAAAGACACCCCCAAAGTGGAGGAAAAGTTGCTCTCAGTAAAAATGATGGTGACACTCCTACTTGCAAGCGCCAACA